AAAAAAAAAAAATTGATTTTAAATTCGCATCGGAATCTTTTTCGAGAGCGTTGAAAAATAATAAAGACTTACTCGTTCATTTTGTTAAATTTTGTACGGATCTCGTTTTCCTCGTGTGTCATCGGTGAAAAAGGCTCGTGTTGAAGATCGTCCATCAAAGATAAAATATTTTTACGATATCTTAATATAATTGTCATTTTGCAACTTGTAACGAATACAACCAGCGTGATATAAAAATTCTCTATGAATTCATTCTTATTTTTCACGTTGATAATTATATCTAATATTTGGCTGGATACAAGACTCAGTATTAACAACCATATGACGAACGTGTAAATATTGTACAGCGATTTTTTAAACGACGATTTCCACGACGTTGGTGGCATGCACCCGCAAACTGAGAGAAGGAAACGTGTCCATTGCAACGCCTGCACGACCATTTTTATGAAAATTCATCGGCTATAATTATTTTACATTTAATTCTTAAGATTTTAACATCGTTTCAACTGTTATTCGTGAAACAGAAATTTAGGCAACACGTGAACGAAAGTAATTATTTCGTTCGTAAATAGAAAAATAATTTTTTTTTTTTGTTAATATAGCGAATCGTCAATACAAGTGGATCTTTGCAAAAGTCGAAGTCTAAGTATTTCAAGTACCACTGACCATCCCAGAATATCGACAAGTTCAACCCTTTTAGTAGACGAAGCTATTTCTTCTATTCCAATGCGTTCTACGTCATTATGTTTGTTAATGATGCAAAGGCCTATCTTAGAAACAGAAAATCTATCTTTAAAAACATCGTGGAAGTTTCTTCCCCTATTTCTGGCTTTCTGACATTTCATATTAAAATTATCCTTTCAAACTACGTTGAAATATAAATTGTGATCGTGAAAGACACGAAATGATAATTATCATTTATTTATCTGACTGATCGAGGAGAGTCAGTCGTTCACGGAATGTCTTCATCTCAATTTCGAGTGAAAAAAAAAAAAATAAAAGTAACTTCAGCAATGCTATTTTAACAGAGCTGACATTTATTATTGTTCGTCGTACAAAAGAACATTTGTACAAGATCTTAGATGAGTGTTTCGTTTATTATTCCTCAATATTCTTTTAAAAAGAATATCATTTGCTTTTATTATTGCTCTGCATTGTATTAATTAAAGTAAAACGTTCGAAAACCTGATCAATACGAAAGATTCGAGATTCATGGAAATATTAGCGAGTGAATTTTCAATATTCGATATCAAAATTATTATAAACATGTACACAGTTGTTATAACTTACTTTTCCAACAATAGCATCGATAATTTTACCTCTCATTCTTGAATTTTCCATTTCTTTTCACCGGAAATTCACATGTTCTTGATGAAAGACGGTTCGAGCTTGAGATATAAAAGCTCGTGAAATAATAATGCGGTGATCGTTTGTTGTAAACGAATTCGAGCAAGGGAATAAGAAAAAAAAAAGAAATAAAAAGAAAAAAAGAAAAAGAAAAGGAAGACTTCCGTTATGAACCTACCGCTTCTGAATATCATTTATTGTTTCATTTATTGTATTTTTTCTTCACTATCTTCTTTCATAGCGTTAAGTGGTTTATGCGAACGTTGAGTTATTTTACTCCTCTTCGTCGTAAATCACGTTTCATCCTATAAAAGTGGTCAAAGGCACGGTGGAGGAACATCCGCCGCTATTCTCTGTTACTTTGAAGCAGATTGTACGCTGAATATGAAGTTTTTAACAGCTGTGAATATATGTTTAAGATTAACAAATTGCGCAATGTGAATACAAAATTTGGAAAGAAAAAAAAAAGAATGCATACATCTACGAGAAAACTTACTAAAAAAAATAGAAAAAATATTAGAAAAAAAATATTATGCTTTGATATTTAGAACGAGAAATTCGATCTTTATGTTCACGTGCTACTTTCAAATACAGGAAGTTGAAAAATAAATTGATCTTTTTCGTACTAACGATCACAAATGAATCGAGATTCATGGCAACCACATGAACGCTAGTCATTTCGATTGGATACGATGCACGCATCATGATCATCAACAAGTCACGTTTAGTGGTATTATCGAGATCCGGCCAATCAAGTTCGAAAATCATGTTAGAAATATCGAGACTCTGGATGAAAAAAAAAAAGAAAGGTAACAGATTGAATACTTGGATTGATTCGTTATTATCGCGGATAAAATATACCTTAAGCTTAACTTCGTTCCCGTACCAGCAGAAAATATATATTTGCGTTAACATACAGCTACTGTATATCGCTAATTGTATAATCCTCTCGATTGTAATTTGTGTTCCCATTAATATATAAAGATTAACGCATATCGTTAACGTACTCACTGTGAATTGAACGAAAATCACCATTTTAAACTGTTCGTTTATCGTCGTAGCCAATCTGGAATCGTTTGCACACGAATTAGAAAAAATTTTCTCGATTTATTTAATCCCTTAACTGTGCGACGAGTTATACAAGTTTGCTCGTAATATCGAATATCATTTTAAAAATATGAAATTTTTAAGCATGGAAGATTTTTGTATTTTGGCCCAGTTAAGGGAATAAAAGAAAAGTTAAAAAGGGACAAGAGAATTAAATCATACCGATATATAAGATTATGATAATGTATGCACAATTTCGTAACTTTATTCTTTTCGTGCTTGATCTTTTTTAACCGACAATTAAAAATCTCGATCTGACTGCAGATGTGCATCAACAAGGCCCAGATGAAGCTGTCGCAGGCCACGTGTATCATAGCACTAACGATCAGACTTACGACTTGTTGAGTGTAAATGAAAGTATACGCAGATAAGGAGGTATAATTGTAGGGTAACCACATTCGATACGGTAGCTTGTGACTCTCAGTTTTGAGCAGGCCGCCGAATGACAACGACATCACTGACAATTCGACTAGAATTGCGTAATAAATCGCGTTCAATCTGCAGCGTTCATTAAAGAAACAATGATATTGGGTATGTATCCGATTTTTATCATAAATGCAGAATGAATCAAGAAAGATGATTTGTATTTGATTTATCAAAATTCGATCGTAAAGTAAATGTAAATATCATTTTTATATCATAGTTCGAATATTTAGCTTGCAAATACATTTATTTTTTTTTTAAATCAATCAATTTTTATAAAATCATATCTGTTTTATCTCCTTTTTTGACTCAATCTGTATATTATAATGTTAATATCCACTAATTTTCACAGAATAGGTATATTGATAACATTTTAAAAATGGAAATTGAACGATAAAATATTAAATAAAATATTCACCTGGCCTGCTTGTCGCATTTGTCTCGCATATTCATCTCTTCCTCTGTCTCAGGCTGGAACGGTTTGCTTTCCAGCATGCTAGTTATCAGGATGATATTTTCACGATTGACCAGCATGCTGTACATCTTGTGGCACGAGATAAAAATTGCCAATGTAAGGTAAAAATTGTCGCAAAATTCATCCTCGGTCTCCACGATTAATAACAAATCGACGAATTGGCAAAACGTGGCTCCGTATATCAATAGGATCACATAGCAATAGTAAACTGTATACGCGAAGTTTTTTAATGGGGACAAGAACGGTGGTCGCCAACAAGCGCACGACGTCAAAAAATGATATATCGTTCGTAACAATTGCATCGTTTCTCTTCTCTTTTTCTCAACTTTTTTTTCTCAACATTAAAATTCGACTTATTTTCCTTCGATGTTTTTAACCAACCTTTCGATTAATCATTACTCAGCGTGCTCAGATTTTTCAAAGATGACGAAGTAGCAAGCAGAGAATGTAAATTTTTCTCCTTTTTAACAATTACTCGTCGTTTCGATTCTACAATGTCTTTCGACGTTCCGTCACTCGATATTATTACGAAATAATAATAAACCGGAAATAAGAGATGGAAGAAGAGGAAAAAGAAAGGGAGAAATACGTTGGCATATAATATATTTAAGCGGGCATCAATATATTCTTTACCTTTACCTTTGGCTGAAATAAATGAGCGGTTATCTATATGCGCGCGCGCGCATAGATTATCATTCATGAAACTTTTTCTTTTTTCTTTATGTATACTATATTATTATGTGTTGTAATTTCAGAAAAATGGAAAAGTGGAAAACGTTGTTCGAGAAACGTCAATTTTTATTTTCTCTCCATCAATTATATTATTCTCAATAGTATCGTTTAACATCGGAAAAGGACAAGAATAATCGAGTTGGAATAAATATTTAACGAATATCAAGTAATATCAAGGAAATTGGTCTTCTGTACATCTCGTCTGTTTCAAACAAAGAATTGGAAAGGAATTTTCTTTCGCAAGAAGATAAAAGAAGACAGATAGAATAGGTGAGATAAATACTTTGATACTTTAAACTGAGACACATACGATTTAATAGATAATTTTATTATATATTATATATTGTTAAAATTTGATTTCAAAGTTTAAGATTCGCTTTTCTTTTTATGGAAGAATTTTAAACTTTAGATTTTAAATCAAATTTTAAAATGTTGTTACAAAATTACAAAATTTCGAATTAGAAAAAATTCTTGATCTTGAAAATTTTCATATCAAGTTATTTACGAATTAGATTAATCTTTGATTAATCGCAAAGATTAATCGAAACATTGTAACTTACGATTCCTTCGTTCTCTGAAGGAAATTGTACGTCGAATATGACATTTTCAATATCTGCAAAAAGCGTGCACATATATTGAAATCTGAAAAGAAACATTTTTTAACATCAATATCGTTTTAATATCTATACTAACGCTCACGAAAGTTCTCAAATCCATCGTAAAGATGTATGCGCAGGTCAACTCGATCGGATTCATCGCTCTTCTCATTATATTTATCAAATCTTTCTTGCTTCTATTGTCAAGGGAGATCCAATCTAATTCGAAAATCGTGTCCACAATCTCGGTACTCTGTGTTGTAAATTTTCGAGCATGGATTATGGAATTGAAATTCGAGACTCGCATAATTTTAACAAGAACAAATTCTCAACGTGATTTACCTTTAATTTGAGCTGATTTCCGTACCAGCAATAAACGAAGATCTGTGTCATCATGCACGCCAAATATAGGACGAATTCCAGAAATTTAGAGCTGATCAATGGTGTGTTTGCCAATTCGTAAAGAATAAAGCACACTACCAGAGTACTCGATAAAAGTTGAATACCTATTATTTTCTTGAACTTCTCCTGTACCATAAAAGCGTATCTACACGTTCGTTCGAAGATATTTCACAAATTAAAAGAAAAAAGGAAGAATTATGAATAATCATTTACAATGATATTTCGAATCTTCGATTTTTTTCTTCCAGACATTTAGACTGAACACAAAACTGAACAAACCCGTATAGATAATTGTGAAAATGTACGATCTTTCCAATATTCAATCTATTTCCAACATTTACGCTTTCCTTCAATCTATGCTTCAATATTTCTTGCTGGCTGTACATATGGACGAACAATCCGCAAATGGTCACGTCACAGGCCACGTTTAAAAGCGAAGTACCAATCAGAGCGATGATCTGATGAACGTACGCGATATAATAATAATAATAATTTGGTGCAGAGCAGTTGAAAGGTAGCCAAGCTTCGTACGCCAATCTCTGGTTTCTGAAGTCGGTTACCAATGAAGATACAATCATACAAAATACTGTAAACTCCACCATGATCGTATAATAAGTAGTGATCGACCTGTCAAGCGTTTGATGAAGGCATTCATTCAATTATTTATTTCGTTGCTGATCGAGAATGAATATGGTTCTTTAAAAAATTTTTCATAACAAAAAATTTTTTAATTAAAAATCGATGAAAAAGAACGAAACGAAAGAACAATTTTTGGATACACTTTAAACGTTTACCCGATATTCTTGTCGAAACTTTTTTGGATCATAACCTCCTTGGTGTTCATAGGTTTACAAGGCTCCTCCTCGAGCTTCTTTCTAAAGATTTTAATCGCTTTATGATTCATCAGAAGCGCGACGATCTTGCAACAGGATAAGAGCGATGCAATGAACATGTAAAAACTGTTGCATAATTCGTCTGCTGTTCTCACGTTAATTATCACGTTTAAAAATTGCGAGATACAGAAGCTGTAGAGCAAAAGTAGCACAAATATCGCGTACAAAATATACAGCATCTTCTTGTACGATGTGCGACACGAGGACGGCATCCGACATCCGCAAATTGTTAATATATTAAAAATTGGTTGTAGAATGGTCATTTTTTAATTGATAAAACGATAAATAATGAAAAGAAAAAATAATAATTCTTGATGAAATAAATAATAATTCTTGAAAAGAAAAATTTAATAGAAGAAATACTTTCATTAATCTTATTATACCAGTGAATTTCTGTGATTCACGATTCCTCGCTTTATCATTTAATGAAATAATTTTGATTAAAATAAATAATTGGACATTCACTCGTCGATTAAAAAAAATATTTTTGTCTCGAGGAAATTAAAATACTTGCTTAAGAAGAGAATTCGAAAAAATTTTATAAAATACTGACTAATGTAAGTAAACGATGTCTATAGAAAGCTTTTTTTTCACGAGAAAAATGTTGTCCATAATTTTCCACCTTGATATGCACATACCGTATCATTATCATAATATGTACTGTGTTATACAATGCTGGTTATAATGCTATATTTTTATGAACCTTCTTAGATAGGTACTTATCCGAGGAAAATAGGATAGTTTATCATTTATTATAAAATCGACTTATTCATTTGGAAGAAATTTTAAATTATAAAAAAACGAGAATAGATGGGAAAAATTGAAAATTCTTTGTAAAACTATAAATTAGCAAATAATATATCGTGAATATTTAGAAAAGAGAATAAAGAACAAACAATAAAAATATTATTTATTTATTTTAATTAAAAATATTAAATTTTTTTACATAATTTCGATTATTTAAAGTTAACTAAAAAAATATAAGATAACAAAAAGAAATATAATTATAAAAATTATAAATAAAATATAATATTACGAACTTTTAATAAATAAATCTTCTATTCTCAGAAATTGTGAAAGAATTGTTTATGTCTATATTTCTCCGAATGAAAAAATAATAAAAATAACTACGAATAAGATACATAAAATACAGAGATATAAAAATTTATTTAAATTGTGCAAAAAAAGGCTTTAAAAGTATAAAAGAAATGGCAACGATAAGAAAAATGGCCAAAAAATGAGTACGGTACGTATATGATAATTATAAAAAAAATTTCTCTTAAGTTATGTTATCCTAATACAAAATCGAATTTCTGGCAAAAAGTTCGTC